GTTTTCCGGTTCCTCCAATGTTTTCCGGTTCCTCCAATGTTTTCCGGTTCCTCCAATGTTTTCGGGTTTTCCCGGTGTTTGCGGGTTCCTTTGATGTTTTCGGGTTCCATCAGTGTTTTTCAGGTTCCATCAGTGTTTTCAGGTTCCATCAGTGTTTTCAGGTTCCATCAGTGCTTTTGGATTCCTTTGATGTTTTCGGGTTCCATCACTGTTTTCAGGTTCCATCACTGTTTCCTTTTATGTTTGCGGGTTCCTTTAGTGTTTGCGGGTTCCTTTAGTGTTTTCGGGTTCCTTCAAAGTTTTTGGGTTCCATCAATGTTTACAGCTTCCATCAATCTTTTGAGGTTCCATCAATCTTTTGAGGTTCCATCAATGTTTTACGGTATGGAGGACCAATCCTGCCATAATTAAAAATAAATACAGAAATAAATAAATGCGCCAAAAATTAATAAGTATACAATAATTACCCCTCAAAGATACAATAAATAAATGTTGGTAAAAATTTAATTATACAGTGAGACATAAACGTATATATCTCTTAATTAGCTTATTTCTTTTTTTTCGCCTTTGTAATAATGACCTTATTTATTTATTGTCCATTATAATCTTCAACTTTATTATTTTTTTTAAGTATTTATTTATGTGCATGTGATAATATTTTTATATTATTCTTTCTTTGTATTTTTCCCCCTATTTATTTCTTCCATGCTATTTATTTCTGCCTGTCGTATTTACATTTCTGTATGCATTTCTGCTTCATTATGCAAATGAGGAAGGGGTGTGTCTTAAGGGCTCAACTTCTGCCCATTGGTTGGCAGCCAATCATCTTACCTAGGAGCTCAGAGTATTAAGTTAAAAGTTCTCTTTTCTGTTGCTGTTGTTCAATAAATGTACGTTTTAAGATCATTTGAGGTGAGAACAATACTTTTAAGCATCACTATATGGTCCATTTACTGATTTGCTGCGTAATTTAAAAGAAATTGTTCAGAACTTGAGAGGACCGCTGTAACCAGCGGAGCTATGAACCTAACGGCAGCCCGTCTGCAGCAGTCCTCTTTCGGCATAGCCATGTGTGAAGGACCGCTGGCTATGATGGCGATTTTTGTTGTGTTTGGCAAAGTTTTGATTTGATTTGTTTTTATCTGATTGTGTTAATTATTATTCCCCCACTAAATGAAAAAAGTCAGAATTTATTATTATCTAGAGACTATTAATAACAGGAGGAGAAAGGCAGCATGTGGTGATGTCACAAGTACGCTTCTGTTCCAATTGACCCAGATTTATACTGAGTGGGAGCCCGACTTTTCTGGGTTCTTCTCAAAAACATACTTGGCGAGGACATGAGTCTATACTAGCGCTCTTCAGACTCTACTCTCCTCCTGTAGATTCGACCGATGCAGTAAAATGCTAGCCAACCAATGAGCAGAAGTTGACTCTCTAAGACACACCCCTTCCTCATTTGCATAATGAGGCAGAAACACATACAGAAATAAATAGCATGGAAGCAAGTAATAAATAAATAAAGTTGAAGATTACACCGGACAATAAATAAATAAGGTAATTATAACAAAAGCAAATAAATAAAGAAGCTAATTAAAAGAAATCTATAAATTTATGTCTCGCTGTATAATTTAATTTCTACCAACATTTATTTATTTATTGTATTTTTGGAGGGCAATTAATTGTATGCTTATTTATTTATTGAGCATTTATTTATTTCTGTATTTATTTTAAATTTTGGCAGGATTGGTCCTCCATAATACGGTTCCTCCAATGTTTTCAGGTTCCATCAATGTTTTCGGTTTCCTTCAATGTTTTTTTGGGCTCTTCTGATGTTTTCAGGTCAGCTCAGTCTGCTTTTCTCACCAAAGGGGAAGACGATCTGATCTCCACAACAGATGCCTTCAAAGGGGGACACCGTCCTGCTGTCCAGGAAATTTTTCACTTCATTTTTATCTATTATGGAAAGTGACTGAAATGTTCTGCCCCTAAGGACCTGGACAATGTCTATATGTAGCACATCTATACATTTTTTTCATATATTAGGACCAAAAGAGATGTTAAACCAGGATCCATGCATCCCTATGAAGAGATGTGCTACTTTCCATCATGTCCGAAACACTAACCCCACTTCATGCGCCCCGTTCTCTATCACACTACATGTCTCATTTTTTTTTCCATTCGGCAACAATTTCACACACAACATGCAAGCATTAAACACACAAATTAATTAACTTCATCATGAAAAGAAGAGAGTAAGGAAAACCTCAAACAGACCAAACAACCAGAAAACACCATGTGAAAAGATTGAATTTAGATCAAGAAGTTTCCTCTTCATTGTTTTACTTTTATGAGAATAAAACAGAATCAGGTTGATTGTTACATTTAATTTAATCTAGACTTGTTCAGCTTAAGGTGTCTGAACATTGGAGCAGCTTCTAAGTTATTTTTGTTCTTTTTGAATGTTTGCTATGATGAGGTCGCTTTGTTAAAAACTCCAGGAGACGCAGATGGAGGCATCAACTAACACCTGGATCAGAGACTACCTGACAACCAGACAGACCACAGAACGGGGGGTCCAGACGGGAGGACAGAGACAGGGGGTCTACATGGGAGGACATGCCGTCTATGTGGGAGGACCGGGGACCAGACAGGAGGACAGGCTCCAGATGGCCGGACCGGGGGCCCAGACAGGAGGACAGGGACAGGGGTCTACATGGGAGGACATGCGGTCTACGTGGGAGGCCAGGGGTCTAGATGGGAGGACAGTGGAGGACAGGGGTCCAGAGGGGAGGACAGAGGGTCCAGAGGGGAGGACAGGGGTCCAGAGGGGAGGACAGGGGTCCAGAGGGGACTGTAATGATGCTGGATGGACACCGGGATTGTTTCCAGTTAATTCCAGTAATCCGCGGTTCGGGTCCAGTCTCGGTCCAGCCCATATGTTGTCTTTTTAAATGGGTCAAACCTGGGTCTCAGACTTAGTAATAACTGGAGGTTCGGTCCATGCATGTCTCACCTGTATCGGTACCGAGGTTCTGGGTCCATTCCGCTGCCTCGCTGCCTGCCAGGAAGCCTCTGAGGACCGGGACCTCTACGCTGAACACCATCACTGCAGAACCACGGCTGGATCTCTGCCCACAGAACCGGGACGGTACCGGACCGAACCGGGATCAGCACACCCCGATAGAAGAGCCGAGTCACAGTGGGCGGACCTGACAGAAGTCTAATGCATCCATGTGCTGAAAAAAGCGTCAGTGAGCCGCCATGACAGATGCGCGTTGCATTCTGGGAAAGGCAATGGAGCGGACCGCCCAGAGGCGGGTCCACTTATGTTGGGGCCGGATCCAAACCCTTGGTTCATTTTAAAAATCTATCATAACTTTTTTATTTTGATTTTCTCTATTAGAAAAAATGATTATTCTGGGTTTACAGATTAAAGACAAAATAAAATAATAAAAAAACAAGAAAGGCACTCTTTATTCCTGGACTGTTTGGGATCTGAGAGTTAGTCAGATAAACTCAGGTTTAACCCTGACTTTCTGGTACCATGATGCTAGTCACCATGGTAACGTACTTTGAACAGCTAAAGGCTGATTAAATACGATATAATACTTCGGAACTAGGTCGTCTGCGTAGGTGTCGCAGTGAACAAAAAGACGTCCCCGGCCCCTGCGCAGACACTGCTGCACCTCTCCCAAATTGTAGCTGACCACAGGCAGGAGGCTGGCTTGTTTTGTTTTTATGACCGCAAAACGACTCATGAAGATGGAGCAGCTAGAAGAGTGAGGTGTGCGAGAACGCTGGCACCCTATTTCCCTGGATCCCCGCTTTTTTTCGCCGTCATGTCCAACCGTTGTCAGACAAACTTGCCCCCATTTTCTCTCCGCCTCGGTCGTATCTAGACCCACAGTGTACCATGCTCAAAATTTGGCAAAAATAAAAAATGTCTGCGTCAAGCTCACTGCGACACACTGCTGCGGGAGGATAACCAGCCCTTATCCTGCTCAAGGGCAGGCTAGCTGTCAGTATGGATCAGTCCACTCAGCAGCCAATCAGCTGTCAGGATGCATCCAGCAGCCAATCAGCTGTCAGGATGCATCCAGCAGCCAATCAGCTGTCAGGATG